CATTAATACGTCCATGATATCCGGCGACCGCAAAGCGCATCCGAATGTTCGGTCGAAACCTGTCCCATTCAATTTTGATCAGCATCTGAAAAGAAATGAGGAAATGTTTTGACAAGCCTCAGACACAATGCTTCTACAAGGCGAAGCAAACAACAGATTTTCTCGCAATAGGGACTGCAAAAAAAAGAACATGTCTAATTCAAGTGACAATGGCAGGAAAATGGCAGGAAAAAGCAACAAAGTCACCTCAACTACTTGCAAAAATTACGGCTAATCAGCAATGCAGAAAATAACTACATATTTGCAGAATGGTAGATATCAAACATTCAAATTAAACGTACACAGAATCGTAATACCGCCTCTATCTAATTCATATCGTCAATTGATTGACTGGATATCGCCCTACGACGTTTCGAGCAACAAAGTGGCCGACAGCCCGTGCGGTGCGCGGTTTCGCTTGCGTCGCTGCGGTGGTGGGCGGGACATGACACTAATGGTGGAGTCTGCCACAATCCTTGGCGCCTAGCGCCTTAGCGACGCATTTCGATGCGGGAACGTGGCGAGTCGCCTGCAGTTGCGTCCCATGCACTTCTAGCCACTTTAAGGGCTTATTAGGTGGGTCTGAGCCCGAACTTTGCCTTTAAGTCCTTTCTAGTTCCATCTTTGACGATTTGTTTCTTATTTCTCAACACGTCGAAGAAGCTGATGTTAAATGTCCTGTTATCACCCTTGAGTGTGGTTCACTAGGACAGAAATGGAATTTATCGTTTTTCTCAATATTTTTCACTGCAGGAACTTCAGGTCCACCTATGGTCATTAGTGGGCCCGAGGTTCCCGCAGCGAGAAATGCATTGTGCTGCAAAACGCGCAACTCGCTTTCTGCCGCAGTGAACCACACTTCGTCCATTGTCCAATTAACAATGTATTGTAGTACTTCTTATAGTTGTGACGGGGGTGGATAAAAAAGTGTAGATGCCGAACTTCCCAATAATGCTTTTCTACTGACAGACATGGATTCCTTGATTTAGGGTACTATGGTTGCTGATAAAATGATGTTGCCCGATGTAAAAGTAGAGTACTGATCCTATATTAGCCTTTCCAGTTGTTTTTGACATTTGGTGAAATGCCTGTGGTGTGGTCCACTAGGACAGAGGGCGAACGTTGTTTTATGTTTCGCAGCCTGAATCATTTTTCGCTTCAGGTACCTCGGGTCCACTGATGATAAGCGGTGGAATCGCGACATATGTTTTAGGCTGCGAAACGTGAAGAAGTCACTATCTTGTCCGAATTAACTACACGCAAATCCTCGTCTATGCTACTGGTACATGTCTTACAATGTCGTTGCCTCTGCGCAGAAATTTCTGTTTAGGACCTGTTGCTACATCGTAATCGCTCTGATAAGGGAGTCGAGTATTGCCATTCGAAGATAGCGCGAAAACTGCGTAAGTTTCACACTGCACTTTTAATGCTGCTACATTACAATGTACTCTGTGTGATCATCAGTGATTATTAAGGAGCCATCGTTTTGTACTCCTACTGACTAGTAAAGGGCGCCATTCGTTACGGGTCCCACTGCCTCCTGCTACAGTGAACCCTTCAATGTGGAGCGGGGAATCCGTGAGCCAGGGGCAGTGTCGCCAGTCTAGGGGGGTGGGGGGTGAGGGCAGACACTTGACATGCGTGAGAAGCTGGAATGTTCGAATTCAACCGGGATCCCCGCGGGTTAAGGCAGTGGGTCCCGCAACGAATGGCGCCCTATACTAGTCAGTAGGAGTACAAAATGATTAACCTGTATTATGGAGATGGTGTTTGTAGCTGGCAGTTTGTTTATGTGTTCAGATAACAGCTATTATTTTAGGTTTTTTGTAGTGGTTCAGGATTTATGAAGCTGAACTTTATCTTATGTGCCAAGGTGAGTCTGGATATGAGCAGATCTGTTTGTGCTTTTCTTTCTGGCTGTGCTAAGTCTGATTGGAAAATAAGAATTTCTACTTAGAGGGCGCGATCTGTGTTTTTTTCATGGTAGGCAACGATTTCCAATGATGGCGCAACATCCTCAAACTTGGATATCGTCTTTCCGGCTGCCAATGTAATGGTCGACATTGCGAAATCCCAAGATGCTGAAGTGGGCGGCGGAACCACATCAGGTTTACTTTGCAGACAGAATAATTGGTAATTTCAAATAAGATATAAGGAGCATACGTTGCAGTTATTGAGGTACCCGGACGGAGTTCCTCAGTTGCTTATTCGTTAAGAGAAATGTTGGTCAAATGCGCCATGACCTCACTTAGCAGCAAACTTGTAAGTTCACCTTTATTTCACTTTCTTGTTTGTGTGTGGAATTTTTTGTATACTTGTAAATGTTCACAAACTCCTGCTCTTACATTTTTGATTCACCAGCATCCATCAGGATACTTCTTTTATACCCTATTGTTACAGGTGAGTCAAGAGCGTGAGTTCTTCGCTGAAATGCAGGGGGTTGGCTTGTAGCGCAGTGATACTCTCGGCGAGCTTATCTAAATATGCTGAATCAACGCGTTAGCCGGTGGCGAATTTAATGTGAGTTCTACGCAGATTTGAAACTGCGTGACGGCCACTTGACGGTAGTGTCTTTTGGTTGGCGCTACTCAACATTTGATTCAAAAGGTTTTTGGTCGGCGTTCTAGACGGCTTCTTTCTTCCCGCCTAATAACCACCATACTGAAACCGTGAAATTTTTGCCTTCGGTCTAAAATTTTACAGAAAATGCCATGCAGGTTGTTTTGTTGCGCTTTTTTCGCCCTGTGTTTGCGTATAGTGTGGATCGCTAGGACCGAACACGACTTCTTTTCCGCTTTTTGCAGCGCGAAACTTTCGCTGTGGGTACCCCAGGTCACTAATGACCAAGGTTGGACCTCGGGTTCCCGGGGTGTGGTTCACTAGGACTGAAGCGACTTTTTCGCGTTTCACAGTGTGAAATATTACAGGAGTGTCGCGGAAAGTGCATCAACTACTTCGCTGTGAAATAGTGCTCCATTGCTGTCAGATGCGGGCAGTGATCGGTATTTTGCTCGTTTCTTGTGTATTGTTGGCTTATTGGAAATGCGCAAACAATAAACAATGTTGAAGATGTTGTTTTTCAAGTAACTCAGAAGCACAAAATCACATAAAATGTAAGAGCGTTCAGGGGGGTGTGCGAGTGGCGTTTAGGAGTTTGGAGAGAACGGATAATTCCTATTTGGAAGATTGGGAATGGCACATTTACTATGTGCCATTCTCTTTCGGCAAAGAAAACGTGTGTCTGTATCGGTAAAAATAGATCATGAAACCGGGGTAGCAATTCGATGGGGAAGTCAGTTCAAGTTGATGTCTGTGCCTGATTGTGACGCGACCTTTTACGATTTATCATTTTCCACGCATTTACCACTCCATCCTTGTAGCTAACGAAACTGATCTCAGGCCTAGGCTCCTCCATGATTTAGGGGATTGGGAGATTCCGTAGCATATATATTTTCTATTTGTATCGTATGAATAGTTAAACAGGAAGAATAAGAATTTGTATTGATAGAAATAGTGGTGGAAAGTGCAAAGTTAGATACGTATACCCCCCCCGCGCAGCTATCTGCTGAAGTGGTAGCCGCTGGGAGGAGGCCGTTGTCATATCACGTATGTCCATTCACTAGACAGTCAACCGGCGACATCTTTACATTTATTCCTGAAAGTCTCGTCGAAGCCATAAATGGAATGAGTAATGTAAGGCTTCCACTTCCATGACAGATTTCAAACACACACAAGCACATATCATTCAGAGCGGTGTTTCTATCAGTGGAGAAGATATCAGGGCATTTATAAATGGTGCGCGAAGAAACTACTATGGAACGTCTCTGTGGCCTTTGCACCAGACGGAGGAGGTTAGAAAAGGCAATTTTCGGCGGTTTCTTAACGAAGACGTAAACTTCAGGAGGGGTTGGAGGAGGGTGTACCCGCAGCGAACGCAGGGCAACAAGATGACAGTGCAGAGCCAGGTCGCAGGGGAGTCGCAGAAGTGGAAGTAGAGGTCGAGGACGTAGAAATGGTTGAGGAAGTGGATACTAGTGAAGATGAGGCACCTTCTGAAACAGAAGAGGTTAGGTGAAATATGCTGCTATAGAAACGTTGGAGAAACTCTGTTTTTAGGGGTCCGTTTATGAACCTGAATCAGTGAATCGGAATTCAGCTGTGATGGCGACGTAGGTGACACGGATCCAGCAGTTCTTCAGAAATACTACATGGTGAAAGGAGAATTGCTGATGAAGCTGTTCCGCTTTTGTCCCGAATGTGGGACTCGGCTCAGGAAGGCGCAGTTGAAACCAGTGGGAACAGCCGCAGTCGTGCGCTTCGTGTGCCAGAAATGTACTGTCAGGCCACCAGGGAAGAAGTGGGAAAGTCAAGAGAAGGCGGTGGATCACCCAAAGGAGCGAATGTATAAGGGTAACCTGGTGGCCGCAGTCGCAGCTATAATCACAGGGCTGCGATATGTGGTGAGTCGAAGAAGCTCTAATAGCAATCTCATCCTAGTCTTCTTTCCCACTTTCAGCAACTGGCACGGTGGGCTAACCAGATGGACCTGGCTTTGTTCTCGAAGACGTTCTTCTGGAACGTCTTCGGCTGGACAAAGCCAGCCATACAATCGGTTTATGGAAAGCCATCAGAGGTTTGTATTAGAGAAGATGAAGGAAGGCTATGAGGTACGGTGTATAATCGTAATGCCAATAAAATGAAACTTATTTATCCGAAATCAGGAAGGAGAAGGGCTGCAGCTCGCCGCCGACGGCGCCTTTGATAGCCGGGGTTACTCGGCCCTGATCGGAAAGGTGGTGTTATCGGACCTCCGATCTAATTTAGTCCTCCATACGGAAGTCCTCCATCGCTCTGAAACAGGTGAGGTGACAATGATTGACAACTTTTACATCCGCAACGAGCCATATTCTAGAGAACAAGAGCAACCGTATGGAGGTGGAGGGCGTCAGGCGCCTTATGCGGTGGGTGGTCAGCTGCGGATTGCGAGTCAGTTCATTGACAACTGACCGTAATCGGGCTGTGGGGAAGGCGCTAAGAGAGATGGAGTCGGAAATAGGTGCCATTCGTCATCTCTATGACGGATGGCACCTCGCGAAGTGGCTGGGGAATCGGCTGCTGGAGGTAGGAAATAAGTTCGGGTAACAATCCTTCACTAAATGCATAATTTAGGTGGCAAAGAAGAAAGGATTGCGAGAAGGTGGGTTTATGGGTGGAGGACGTGAAAACGCAGCTGTGGAAAGCGATTAGCTACGAAATAGAGGATCGGGCCTTGACGAGGGCCGTGTTCAATACGTGCACAATGCACGTTATAAACGTGCATGAATGGCCCTTGGTCCGTGTCTTGTTACACTTACTTCCTTTCTTCTTTCGCAGTTCACGAGCAAATTCTAGGATGAAGACACGACGGGGCCCATAACGGATTGCGGCCATGAACCACTGGAGGATTCGCGTGACAAATATCTGGACCCGGCAAGCAGGGCTTACAGGGAGTTCCGAGAGGTGGTCTTCACTGGAGTCCTTCCAAAGAGACTTGGTCAAGGCAAGCCCATACGGAGGTACCTCCGTATGTGAGGCAAAAAATGCACTGGATAGACTCTATTGCCCTAAAGAGATATTCTATCCAGTGTCGACCTACCCGCTCCGCGCTATGATGGCTACAATGCACTGGAACACATTGCAGCTAGCGGAGTCAAGCGGGGAAAGAAAAGTACTGAGGACACGCGAGGTCCAGCGAAAGTACCTATCGAGGAGAACCAAGCAGGATCTAAGTCTCCAGCAAAACACTTGTGGAGGGACTCAGTGATGGCCGAAGTCCTCAAGGGACGACTTGTAGCCCTGCACAGTAGGAGCGGCCGCGACCCTTCTGAGTGGTTCGCCGAAGTCATGGCTACCCAAGAATACTATGAATGCGAGCTGTGATGTGGTAAGAAGTGTTAGCAGAGAACGCTTTATTACATTTAGAAAATCAAGAAACTACTGCAGGGCGCTATCGCGCCATTCCTCATCGTCACACTCCAGACTGCCGTCCCGTCCATCTGCCCCCTGCAAATTCTTTGTAAGGAATTAGCATGGTTATGCATATAATATTGCCTCACCCTGAACCCTACGTAGTCTCCAGTGGTGGAGGGGATGCCTTCATAATGGCTCCCCTTACGCAGGCCGGGATTTCGTACCTCTTGCCCATCCCGAGTAGCCATAACACCAGAAGACAAATGAGCGGTACGCACAGTACCGCAGCCTCCTGGAAGCGCACAAAATGGATTTCGCACATCACTAATGAGGAGAAACACTTGCTTGTTTTCGTCGTGGAGTGGCTGAACTTCCTTCCCTCAAAGCAAACTTCAGGTGCCCCCATTACAATGTCCAGCATCTGAATACTGATCTTTCGTTTCAGTTGTACAAAGGGTAGCACTCACTTTACCTCTCGGTCCACTACTTTATAAAACGAAGGGTGATCCACGACGCATCTTCGACTCTCCTTCACCTTTCCCTTGTAGCCCTTCTAATGGTTGATGCCTTCTACTTCCACCTTCTTCTAGTGCCTCACGGCAACACACGTTTTCGCGGACCGTGGTGAAGGACACACACGATCCGCAAGAGCACCAGTCCTTGTTGTTCGTCCTCGAGGCCGGCAACTCTTTCCCCAAGAAGAAGGCAAAAGCTGAACTCCATACAAACTGCATATGTCTCTCAGTTCCTGTACTTATGGTGTCACCTGACACCCTCACCTTTCATTCCTCGCATCGTCCACCTTTCGTTGCGCAGCCTTCTTCTCCTGCCGCTTTAGAAATTTCTCATACTTCTCGTCCGAAGGGGTTCCCATTGGCACAGGACATGAGATGCCTTTTCTACCCGATGCCATCTTCCACACTCTGACGCTAGTCCTGATTACAATGTGAGTATTGAACAGACGAGCAGCAAACAGGCGCCCAGTGGCGCCAATACTGCGTCACCGATAAAACTGAAGCCAATATGGGGGTGGCACCACGCGGTCTCTCAAAGCACGATGACTCAACCTACGCCTAGGAAGGAATGGTGGGATCTTGTGACAGTGGTGCTTTCCGCACAAGACAGTTTTCGATCCCTCCTCTGGCACACTCTCACCCCTTCTTAACGGTTATGGTTATCTAGAAAGGAAAGGCGACTTTTTTCGCGTCGCAGCACGGACCGTTGTTTTCGTTGACGGCTTCTCGGGTCCACTGATGCTTTCGCGTGGAACCGCTCGGGTCCGCTGATGATCAGCGGCCCACCTGAGGTTCGCAGCGGAGAACGCGAGAAGTGAAAAGATTGCTTCCTGTCATAGTGAACCACACCCAGGCTGTAATAGTGCAATAGTGCCACAATTGGCGTACCCACCCTTGTAGAAATCATTATCTATCTTTTCGGCATTGCAAAACGGCGCAATATAGCTCGAGGGGGGCCACTTGCCGCGGGGAGTGGGTACTTAGGACAAACGCGACTTTTTCGCTCTTCGCAACGCGACGACACGACAACGGGGCTGGCGCTCCCGCAGCGAAAAACTACGGTATGGAAGAACGCTCCAACTTTAGCGCAAGCCTGCTGCGCGATGTCACGTTGCGATGAGCGAAAAGTGGCGTGTTGTCCTAAGTACCCACACGGGTGGCAAATATTCGTGGTGTGTGCGTGTGTTGTTTCTGAAGTATTTTAGGTTCGTTTCGGCGAGGGACATGGATCTGTCTGTTCGGCCCCTTGCCGCGCGCGATCTTTGCTCGTCTACGCCCTGCAGTACAAAGCCTAGGAGTGGGCAGGAACTTCGGGAAGATGAAACTGCTATGATCCTGGTCCCTCTTCCGAGGCTTAGTCCCGATGAGCGAAAAGAGGAAAATGCATACACATCAAAAACGCCCGTCGCGACGCGGTCGGGTGGCCCTCGTCGAGCCACATTGCGCCTGCAAAAGATATATAACAAAATCAAAATATATCTTTTTTTTTTTTTACAAAAATATATATACATATATAAACATATTAGAATCGGGTCTATTTCAGTTAGGGGGGCATCAATGATGCACATTTCTCAGCGATCTCCCCCCCCCCTCTCCACCACCTAGGCTGGTTTACATTCCGCTGCTCGAGTTATCGTAGCTTTTTGAAAACTGCACCATGATGCCCCTAAACTGAAGTCAGTCCGCCCTAAAAATCTTGAGGGCATGCGTTTCTGCCACCAAGTCGGCAACTAGTCGTCATTTACGGCTATTTTATGCGGTAGGTGCAATCACGGTCCATGTTATCAACACGGTTTCATGGTCAGTGATACAACAGCTGCTCGGTTTTTTTTGAGGTGCCGGTCTCTCACTGCAGCATCAGCCGTTATTACACATCCTGCATCTGGTAGAAATATAGTAAGGTACTCGTCGACTCTAAATTTGGTTTATTATCAAGTGTTTCGTTTGCTGACCTCCATTTGATGGCGTGACAGCCCAGCTGGTAGCAAAGGTGAAGAGAATCACATTTCTAGTGCTCTTTTCATTGCTATATTTTGTTCTGGTTTGTATTGCATTACAAGACTCTCGTGAATTCTAATCATATTCACTACGTTAACGTACGTTTGCATACTCGTCTACTCATTCTTCTCCCATCCTCGAAGTCCGGGCCCTTTGCAACGCCTTCAGTTTCACTCCTTCGCGACAGTAGACTCAGTGTCTTCATTTTTGGTTCGTTTTAATTTGTTCTGTTTCATTCTTCGCGATCCCGACCCTTTACAGAACTCAGCCGTTCTTCACTGTTTTAGGTTACATACTTAGTTCGCATGCTTCGTGCGAGATTCACAATATGGCTAATCGAAGTGATTAAACCCAGGTGAGTTTTAGTAACGAAATACTACATGTGTCAATTTGATTCACAGTTATTCTGGGGCCGTAAGGCATGCTTCCGAATTGTTGGGGGACGAAAATCCCTTTGATTTGTTTTGTTTTGAACGATACTGCTTCTTCATTTTGAATGCTTGGTTACTTTAACCTTACATTGAATGTTGGTCCTTTATCAGGACATCCCTGTCGAGATAGCGACATTTTAATGGGGTTTTCGTCCCCCACTTCTTCGGGGAAGCATGCCTTACGGCCCCAGGAGTCGTTTTCTGTAACGTGTTTCATTACTTGAGAATAGACGTGCTGTTTTGTTTGTTTACTCATTTGATGGTATCATGTCAGTATCATTGAAAGTAAGTGAGTAAGATATTAGAATTTAGTGCTGCATCCATTGATTTCACATTTGCAAGTTTTCATCCTGGTTGCATTGATTGAACGTTTGGCATTGTTGCTGCAAATCCAGGTGGGTGTGACATCCCTGCAGATGTGAGATTATTGCGTTTGCTTTTTCGTTGAATACTATTAATCGTTATTTCTCCAGATTCAACTGCTCGCTATTTTCTGATGACCGGCTTTTTGCAAACGATCTTACTGAATTCTCTATTGAGAACATCGCGTAACTACGTAAGCCCGATGCCTCCTCTTTTGTCTACGAGTTCATTTCGAAGGTATGAATTTTTTCTTTTTGTCTTTTACTTTCACTTTGCGAGCATTTCTTGTTTTCATTTTATTTCATTGCTTGGTCGTATGTTACAAGCAGCTTGGTAGCCCTTCAAATTCACTAAATTTAGGTTACGTCTGTGTTCGAGGATGAGAATGGGGAACCTCGAGAAATGATTATGCAATGTCACAGATTGCGGGTACTATGCTAGAAATAAAGAATTCGTCATCACACTGCTGCCATATTCTTGCTTGGTCAGAATGGTGTCACCGCGCCAGCTAAAAATATTCAACAAGGTACAGATCATTGACGATACTAGTTTTTTTCTCATATGCGTTTCTATTGAGAAGTCAGTTGTTCATAGGCTGATACTTGTGCAAATTCATGTGCAGACAGGATAAATTTACGATTTAGGAAACGTGTGGGATAGCTGCTGATCCAGCTGAAAGATGTGTAACATCCGCATGTTAACTGCTGAACCTCATCGATGAAGCCGCTTTTGAAGACTGCCGAAAACTATCTATTGCAAAAAGTTAAGATTGGAGCTGTTTCTACTGTACTGCTGCGTTATGAGCCGTTCTGAATACTATTTTGCTTGTGTTGCTGCCCTTTTTCTTTCTGATCGTTCATTGTGAAACGTTTGTAATCCAATTTCATTACATTGTCTAACATTAATATTAACCGATTTCTTCATTGCCTTAGCTGTGTCATGTTGGTGTGAGCTCATACAGCTTGTTTGCAGTTGCATCCGGAGTATTTTCAAAATTTCGTATCTGAAATAAAGATAACATATTTAATTGGAAGAAATGGCACAATCAAGGTGAAAGTAGTTAAAAGCCTGGAGAAAGGATAATCAAAGAAACGAACCGCGAAAACTGTTATTCACAACCTCTTCCGCGGGTGATTGGAAATGTCGGTCAGCCATCTTTTCTAATGCCGCTTCTACACCATCACCTAGACATCAGTTTCCACTCCAACGATCCGATGTGAACTGAGTCATCATTGAGCACCTCGCACACTGTGTCTGCCTGAAAACAAAACTTCCATCACACGAAAATGCTGAAATGATAACCACTGATATCCTAACGGACCCTATAACATACACATACCACAGTATAATATAGCGCCTACACAACAGTGCTATTAGCATCTGTCACAAATTGGCCTAATAACGTTTTCATTTCAACCACTCGGTACACATGAAATAGCATTAATGTTGACTCACATGGGAAAAGTTGAAACATCGCAAGATCTCGCGTCGTCACAGTAACGGCTCAGACATGATCGTCACTCTGGAAGTAAAACGCGTTGACGACCAAAAAAAAGAAATAAAACCAACTATAACGCATAGAAACAAGCAATATGCTATCGACAAATTGCTTCACAAGGTAAAAGGAATAACAACCGCGACGGATTAGACAAAGTTAAACACTGTAAACACAGTTACACACTATAAAACAAAATTGTTTCATTTTCCACTTTTATAGTGCATTACGCCAAAACGACAGAGAGAAGAGGGAACACTGGACAATAAATGAAAGAATTGATTGTAATATCAGCTGACGAACGTGAAGAACCCTGCCGCAGTGATTGCTGGCAAAATGCCACAGTCTGCGGCATGGTAATATCAAGTTCGGAAAACTCGTCCGGTTGCACCTCCCCTTGAAGGCTAGGCGAGATGTTACTGGAAGAGTGGAGGTTCCTGTTTAGGCTTCATCGCGGGTTTTTTTCGCTGTTTCTTCCATTTCCATTCAACAATGCACACTCACATCCATTATCGATCGCTCTTACCCCGCAAATCCGTGCCTGAGTTGTGCCTTTAAGGATTTTTTGTGCCCACTATAGAGCAGCCTGCTTTGTACTCATCCAATGTTAATGGCCGCGTTCGCTCTAGACTATACAGTGCGTTTCATAAGTATAGACGCACCCCAAAATCTTACACGAATAGTTTCAATACGGATCCATAGGGTAACATAATGGCACTAGTAGGAATCATCGGAGAAATAGTCTCAGTTACAATACGTCTCGTAGTTATGAGAAATTTTTTCGAGGTATATTAGGCATCGACCCTGTTGCCCAACGTTTCATAAGTATAGACGCACCTCTAAGACACAATACTTTTATTATGAAATCAAAACAATAAAAACTCCTAGTAATTAATTGTTTCTTAGTACTTCGAAAGATAGAAGAAAGAGTAGATTTAACCAATCCGCTGAGCAGTTATACGACCAGACGATTCCATTCCTGACTAATCACCACTCTGAGGTCGGTCACCTTAACAAAAGTCCCTCTGTGACGTTAAATATTGCAACCCAGGAGGCCTCAGATGTTTTTAATGAGATTGACATTGGGTGAACAAGCAGGCCAGTCCACAGTAGTTGCATTTCGCTCCTCTAGCCACGACCAAGTAGACCGCCTCATTTGGATCACAGCGTTGTCCTGCTAAAAAACAAATTCTCCCTCGCCATACCCTGCCAAAAAAGGTAGCGAGTGGACTGAGCACGTCTTTGTTTTCCGTGGAGTCCATGTGGGTGGGAGTTCTTGCGTCCCACATCGGTGAAATACATTCCAAATTGTGACGCGTCATCCATCGAAATCACGCTTATTGGAAAACTTCGACACCTTGCACAGATCTCTCCATTAAAATGTATACCCGTCTAAACCGTTCAGGTTGAGCTTCTTCTCGTCGGAGAATATCAGTTGAGCAAGAAGTTTCGAATGGGAAGCTTTATAAGAAAGGGGTGTAAATTGGGCCAGTTTGCTGCCATACTCCTCTTAGCAAATTGGAGCCGTGCCTCTTTGCGAGACGCGGTGAGACGGGGAGCTGGACGGAGACGACTTCGCACGACGTTGCTGTTGCCACTGAACGCCCTCCACACCGCCGTTTTGGAGGCAGGTGCCGCTAGGTTCGCTCGGACTTCATTGAGGCTGAGTCGAGAGTTCAAGACCAATCGTTCAATCTGACGTTCTGCTTGCGGAGGCAGCTTCCTTGGTCTACCTGATCCCTTTTTGCGACCGTAGGATTCCGTGTCACTTACGAGTTGATCGACGACCCTTGAGGAGCAACACAATTGGGCAATTATGCGATTGCTCAGACATACCGTGTGCAGGGCGCGATCCTGAGCCTGCTCGGCAACTGGAAGCTGTGAGCCCCTGCTATTTAACGATATGATGCGTAGCACTTTATATGACTATGTAACTTCTTCAACTTTCGCAGGGCCAGTGTTCAGTTTCATGGCGATTTCTAAAGTGCGTCTATACTTATGAAACGGTCCATTTGGTAACAAACCGTTGAAAAATACCCAATTTTTCTCCGATTCAAATAAAACCTGTCTCACAAAGGTTTTCCGGCACGCTGATTACGATATTAACAACCCTTTTGTCATGGATATCGTTTAACACATTGACGACAACGCGGGGAGATATATATCCCGCGCATTGCAGGCCATGTCGGACCGTGCGGGATATATATCCCCCGCACCCATTACACTCATTTTTTTCGCGCACGCCTGATTCTTTTAGAAGTTTCTTGTATTCATTCCATGGAAGAGACCTTGACGTAGCTACAAACATAGTGGCCCTTAGAATGGTCACGTATACTTTAATTTAGAGGAGGATTTCTGAACCATACGAAATCTTCATTTCAATAAATTTTTCTTACTTTTTCTTTTTATTAATGTGAAGATTTAAATAGTAGTAGAAGTAGATAAGGAACCTTAGGGATGACAATATGTGTGTTTTGATTGGAATAATCAACGTAAAATTGCTTTTCGAGGTCCATTGCAGCTAGTTCTGAAAATTTCGCTTTTTCATTGTCATTTCATGTCATTCGATGGAAATTCCACTACTGTACCCCTGGTTAGGTTGCGCACATTACAATTTATTGATTTGGTTCCGAATTGATCATTAGTTGTGGGTTTATCACTCAAAATCTGCTTGAACGACCTGAGCGAGCGCGCCTGCAAAATCGCCGCGGTCCCACGTGGCCAAAAAAGCCAAAACTCGCGTGTCGTCAATGTGTTAAAGCGTTATGAACAGCTTTTTTGAGGGTGCGTCTATACTTATGAAACGCACTGTATTTCAGGAAATGGAAGAGTGTACAGTAACGAAGAAAAGTGCATAGATGATCACGACCCTTGTTTTCACCGAAATCGGTGTGAGCTTCTGCATAGGGGTCATTTGGTGCTCTAATTGCGAATATGACATTCGTTTTTGGCGTTAACGCTGTTCAACGTATTATTTCCTCGGTTTGGAGGCGAGCACAGTGGGAAATACGCGCCAAATAAGTTGCGCAAAAAATGAATGTCATATTCGTAATCAGGATACCAAATAACTCCGATGTGGAAGTTTACACCAAATTTGGTGAAAACAGATATCATGACATGGTGACACCAAGAAGGCGCCAACGCTAAAAATGAAAGCCATTTTCGTGATCAGGGAGCTGAATTACCTATATAGAAATTTACAGCATTTCTTAGGTGTACAAACCTGCACGCACGAGCGGAGGTTTTTCACGTAAAATCGCGT